GTTCCCGAAGAGGCAAAAATCATACTTGCCTGACTCACTGTGACTGTGTCTCAGCCAATTGGACACTTGGGAATTCTGCCAGTGGCAATGAAGAATTTTATTGCACTAAGCATTAATTAGTCCTAGAGGATTTAGCCTGTTTAAAATTCAACTTTCAAGAACAAGTTTGCCAATGAAAATATTTAAGATAGAGGACACCCCAGTTTTTGCTCTTGTTTTGCTTTATAGAATATTCCTATAGCCCATCACGTCGAAAGACCTACTAGGGGAGGTTGTGTTTGGGTTCAGAAAATGGGGTAGCAGGGGAATCATTCTGTTGGTTATATTGTTGTGCTGGATCAATCCGTCAAAGATGAATTTAGTACCCAGTAGCTGCAGAGAGAAGGCAGGAGCTGGCACACTTGTTGCTACTGCCCTTCCGGATACTATGTGGGCAGCCAGTCGCCAACCGTGTTGACGCCAGGCATGAGGTCCTTCTCAACACAGGGTTCCAGGCTGCTGTTAACAAAGTCCCACCCTGGCTCAGTGACTTCTAATTGGTGACTTCACATCCCTGTGTCTGAAAATGGTTTATTAGCTAAGGGGATGCTAGGACCTAGGGTTATAAGTCACAGTGGGGAAGAGACATGTCAAGTCAAAATTTCTCAGACCTAAACGAGGCAAATGTGTAAAAAATATATCTTTACCCCCTGAACACACACTTCCAAACCCTGTATGATGATTTGAAAGCTGCAGATGAAGCTGATGGAGACTGAACTGAGCTATTGGATATTAGCCATGCTCTCTTAATAATGTTACAGGTTTGAATTGTGTTTTCATCTTTCTTCTTTCCTGCATTTTCTGTAACTGCCACGCCCTGTGTGCTCTGTCTGTGCCCCAGACATTCTCTGGTCTACTTGCTAATTGTAGGAACAGAGTCTAAGCTATTTGGTCCACTGGTCACTTGTCCCTGGCCACTTATTATCATGCCTTCTGTCCTTTATAATAAAAATGATACTTATTAAAGAATGGTGCAATTTTGTAGGGAGGGTATAGCTCAGTGGTAGAGTGTGTGCTTAGCATGAATGAGGTCCTGGGTTCAATCCTTAGTACCTCCATTAAAAAAGGAAGTAAATGAATAAATAAACTTAAGTACCTCCCCCTTCAAAAAAAATAAAAGAATGGTGCAATTTGGATTTAGAAAAATTTATGGAGCTTGGTTTCAAGTGATGGCTTTGATATTTTCTGATTGTTTGACCAGGGGAGTCAGGGAACATTTTTGAACCTGTTCCTTTATCACTAGACAGAGAATAACAGCATTTTTCTAATCTACCACCAGTCTGTCAGGAGAAGTAGAAGAAATGAGTAAAGTGCTGTACACATAATGTATTTTTATGCCGGTAACTGAAATTCATACATTCTCATCGACTTTACCCAAGACCATCAATAATTGGGAAGTACCAGGTTTAAAATTTAGTCGATTTTGATTGAGCAAGCCACACGTGTTAATTTCTTGATATTTCTTGCATGCAATCAACCATTTAGGCAAGAATTTTACTTGGAGAAAAAAGAGACTGGATTTACATGTTTAGTAGAAAAGCGGGCTGAAGAAAAGTCACATTTTTGGCTGAACCATCGGACCATTGGGTAGTTTTGCATGGTAAGATGCCAAGTAATACTTGAAAACATATAGTCAATAATACTGTATTGTGTATTCGAAAGTTGCTGGGAGAGTGGATCTCAAAAGTTCTCATCACAAGCAAAAAAATTTCTTTAATGTGACTGTGTGTGGTGTTGGATGTTAACCAGACTAAATAGTGGTGATCGTTTTGCAATATATACAAATAGTGAATCATTGTGCTACATACAAGATGCAGCTAATTATACATCAATTTAAAAAAACACTTCAAACCTCAGCCAGTTACACTTACTGTTTTGTTGAAAGGGACTACATGAGCTGGCATCAGGTTACAGCAAAAACACTTTTCCAAAACAGACCGACACAGACTCACGGGGCAAAAAAGTTCTCTGCAACAGTTTCAGTGGATCAAATCAAATCCACCTGTTTAAAAGCACCTTGTGGCAGGTTGAGAAATGCTTTCTTATTATTCCTCTTTTCTTGTAGCTTTAATAAGTTGGCAAATAATTCCTAGTTCAACACAATGAAACAGTTGAAAGATAATTACAGGAGAGCATCGCCATATTAAAAAAATTTCAAGAATTTAGGGAATGCAGCCATGGAAAAGAAAAAAAATCACAATATAATTTAGTGTAGCATTGAGATTACTTTACTGGTGAGAGTCGAGTCTTCAAAAGAAAACAGGGTAGAAATAAAACCCCAAACCTGAAGTCAAAGACACCCCAGGAGGCCCAGTTTACCTGTTAAACCAGTCATCTGTGTAGCGAGGGTAAGGGTAGGGGTCGTTGCTGCTGAAATCGTAGCTTGCTTCTGCGTTCTGAAAAACACAAGGCATGAGGTTAGGTCCAGAAAGCCAGAGGCACAGGCTGAGAGGATGCCCCGACACACGACTGTCTCAGGCTGACGATCACCCTGTGCAGGGCTGCGCTCGTATCCTCTCCGGACCAGCCCATGCAAATGGTGACAGAGCAGAAGTGGGTCCCTGGAGTGCTCTCTCCTCCTGTTACCTCCTTCCCAGACTTCCTCATCCCATCCTGTTCCAGGCCCCCAGAGGATTGGCAAATTTGAGTCCTGCGCTCCCCAGGACTGTCTCCATTTTAAGTTGAGTTACTCCGAGTGGGGAAGTGGGGTTCACCCAGAACCCAGGACTCATGTTAAGCTTCCTTGGACTGATGGCTGGAATGTTCTAGCTCTCATGTCACAAGTGAGGCAGACTCTTTTCTTGCTTTATGCAGAAGGCTCACTCCCAGATCCCTGCTCCTGGCTGACAGAGACTTGTCACTTTTATATTTATGTCTGTTAAACCCTTCCCCAAGCCCCTAACACTGGCCATAACACCAACCTCAGTTATTCACTCAACAAACATCATTAAGTCTAATATATGCCAGAGATTTTTCTAAGCATGGGAATACAATGGTGACATTCCTGTTCTCATGTAACTTACAGCCTAGTTGGGGGCACAGATGTCAATCAAACAAATAAACATACAATTGCAAACTAGGAGTCCTCTTAATATAGGGTGCAATGAGATGTTTAAATTCTATGCAGTCCAACACCTCCTTTTTCCCCACAGTCCTTCCCCATAGAAATCAATTACATATTCACTTAAATTGTCTTTAAGTGATTTCATGTTTTAATTTTTTTTCCATTAAGATTTTCAGTTGGTCTGCCTTTTATTTTGCCCCATGAAGGGTGATGACCCCCCTACTATTTGGTGGCTAATCTCTTCATTCCCCACCTCCTCTGTTTGCCCGGGACATTGAGCTCTGTGAAGCTCCTCTCTCCTCATCCCATCTCCTCTCCTTCACTTTTGAAGTCTACAACCAAGATCCCAGATGGTTTCCTGGTCCACAGCATACACTAGGCTGGGAGACATCAGATGAGATGCAGATTCCAGTTCAAGCATATCTCAATTCCACGGGTCTGAGATATTTTCAGGAATTGTGCTCTTTTATGAGTTATACCACTTTAGTTTGTAAACCTTATGTATCAGTGACATACTATCTTAAGGGCAAACTGACTAATTCTGTGAGTTTGTGTTTCCCTTTGTTGGATGACAAAGAACCACTAGCCATCAGCAGTTGTGATGATCAGAATTGTAATATTAATTGATTTAAATAAATGTGCTTGGGGCAGAAGTTACCTGGAAATTCATTTACATTTTTAAAAATTTAAAGCTTTCTAGCTATATTGATACACAAAAAAAACTCCACACTTATACTGTCTACATCTTGATGAGTTTGGACCTATGCACACACTCACGATGCCATCACCACGACCAAGGTATTACACATATCCATCACCTCCAAAAATTCCCTTGTGTTCTTTTGTGTCCATGTTCTTTGTTTTTTTTTTTTGGTAAGAATTTTTAACATGAAGGTTTAATATGAGCTCTGTCATTTTAACATATTTTACACTGTGTAATAGCACATTGTTGACTGTTGCACAGCAGAGCTCTAGAACTAATTATTTGTATAATGGAAACTTCAAATCCACTGAAAAACGGTTCCTCATTTCCCCCTTCCTCTATTCAAAATTTGGACCAGTCACTGTGCCTTGGGCACTGATCATAGTCCTCTTGTGTTCTAGAATCTAGGTCTTCCTTCAGCACCTGGTCTGTAGAGAGGATGTCTTCCTGTCTCCACTGGGCCAAAATTATTGGCAAGTACCCAATCCTGCTCTTCCTTCATTTAGATCCCAAACTACTTTCATTCATCCGGAAAAGTTTAATTCTTTATCCGGTTTTACAATCCCTGTCTCTGGGGGACCTTCTCTAATTTGATATATTTTTTTCTTGACTTTCTTGAGCTTATTTGGATAGCAGTTCTTTAGAGGGATACTATTTTTAAAATAATTTTTGTTGAAGTACATATGATTTATAGTGTTGTGTAGATTTCTGGTATACAGCATAGTGATACATATATACATATATATATATACAGCAGTTATACATATATATGCATATTCTTTTTCATATTCTTTTTCATTAGGTTATTAGAAGCTATTGGAATTAGTTCCCTGTGCTGTACAGTAAGACCTTGTTGTTTATCTATTTTATGTATAGTAGTTTGCACCTGCTAATCCCAAACTTATAATTTATCCCTCCTCCTGAACCTTTCCTCTTTGGTAACCATAAAGTTGTTTTCTATGTCTGTGAGTCTGTTTCTGATTTGTAAATAAGTTCATTTGTATCATTTTTTAGATTCCACATGTAAGCAATATCATATGATATTTGTCTTTGTCTGACTTATTTCATTTAGTATGATCTCTAGGTCCATCCATGTTGCTGCAAATGATATTATTCCATTTTTTAAAGTGGCTGAATAGTATTCTATTGTATAAATATACCACAGCTTCTTTATCTAGTCATTTGCTGAGGGACACTTAGGTTGTTTCCATGTCTTGGCTATTGTAAATAGTACTGCTATGAACACTGGGGTGCACATATCTTTTCGAATTAGAGTTTTCTCCAGATATATACTCAGTGGGAGTGGGATTTCTGGGTCATGTGGTTAAGTCTATTTTTAGTTTTTTAAGGAATCTCCATACTGTTTTCCATAGTGGCTGCACCAAATTACATTCCCCCCAACGCTGTAGGAGGCTGATTCCCTCTTAATTCTGTGCTAGCCCCTTGAAGCTTGAGGGCAATTCTGGAGACAGGAGGATGAGGGCAAAGCCTGAACTGGCCAAGGCTGAATTTCTCCCATCAGCGCAAGCAGGCTGGCAAATAGAAATCAAATTCCACTAGAGAAGAATAAAATCAGAATTTTCTGCACTTTTGTGTTTGCTGCTTGAGCAACTGACCCATTTCACGAGCTTTCCACCATGGCTCACCTTTCTTGCTCACAATTATCACCTGTGGTCTGGGTTGAGTTCTTTTATCTCTAATTCCTGGTTCTGGAGAAAATGACTTGCCGTGAAGTGGGTGGGGGCGAGAAGGAGGAGCTGAAGAGTTCTGACAGCAGAACTTGTAGCTGAGAATCCACGGAGCTCTGAGACCACTTTTCTAACAAGAAGATAGGTCACTTGTTGTCTGTGGTCAGATTCAACTCTGAAAGTTGAAATGGATGAGGACTTAGGAGCTCTATTGTGTTGTCTTTACAATTAATTCGATGTCTAATGCTTAATTCCTTGTGTAACAGTCTACATGGAGCGTTAAGGAAGGCAAACAGTTATTCTTGTTTGGCTGTATGTTTTCTGCCTGAAAAATCAAATAGTTAAAACAAGAAAGAAGAGTGAGCAATTTGTTTGCGAGGGTTTTGTTTATACTTTTATAGCCCAAACGAAATCACTTATTGATTTAGATTACAATATTGTCATCCATAAAAGAAATTGTGTACAGGAATAAATTAAACTGGACTTGGATTATTCTGGAATCTTCTAAAATATCCATTAACATGGACATTTGGGAGTAAGTGGAATCTCTGTAAATTTAATGCTCTGGCCATTCTAGGCTATGCCAGAGGCTTGTTTTGGTTTGAATCCTATAACTTCTTCCTAAAATGCATTGGTTGGTTTTCTTCTTTTAGAAAATACTAGCTGTTTAGTGAACATAATTTAATCATTGATGATTCAGGATCAGGATGATTCAGAGTCATTATTAAGAACTTGAATTATATATATATTGTACTGTCATGGAGAAAGTAAGATCGGATTGCATCCAAACTGACCTCAGGGCATCCCTGGAAGTTATTTCTGGAAGAAACTTCTGATCATGGCTCATCTTCTCTTCAAGAGTTGAGTGCAGGGGAAAAATTCCTCTAGTAGTTAATATTTCTAAGGCTTAATTTCTGAATACTTGAATGCATAGTCAGAAAGCAAAGCCAGATGAGCTCTTAGCAAAGAATTTTCATAATTACGGATTTGGCCCTTGTTTGCACTGTGCATCTTCCCATCAGATGGGCTGCCTGCACGCGAAGCTAAGTAAGGACAATGGACTTGCTTATTTTCACCAAATCTTCTGACTCTATTATATCTGAGGTGTTGCCTTTGTGCAGCCACGAATGGCACACGTCAGATGCAGGGGTGATCTCACCATGAAAGCTGATGGTGGATCCAGCGGTGACCATGCCCGTTGCTTTAACCTTCTCAGGGAAGCTTCTGATACCCTTGAGACTGAACCCAGCTCTGGTCCTGCCACTCTTACCCCCAAATCTGGAGCGTCCTGCCTCTGGAACCAGTGGACTTTCCTTGCTGGGTTGCACAAGACAGATGTGTCTGCAGGCGACAGCGTGGAGCAGGGGAAGGAAGAGAAGCATTCAAATCAGACCGACCTGGTTTGGAACACAGGCTGTTTGGTCTTGGCAATTTTTGGGTTTTCTAGAAACTGAGGTTTTCCTCATCTTTAAAATGCAGATGATAAAAGGGTAACTACTTGGCTGCTCCGAGGGTAAAATGAGGGAAACACTGTAAGCTGGCAAACACACCACAGACGTTCTCTCTCCTCTTGCTTCTCCTTTTGGGTCCTTCAATTTCTTTGATCATCTATGGCAAGGGTCACAGAGTATGGCCCATGGGCCAAATCTGGCCCACCACCTATTTTTGTAAATAAAGTTTTATTGGAACACAGTCATGTCTGTATGGTTACAGATTGCCTACGGCTGCTTTCACACACTAACAGCAGACAAGTAGTTGCGGCAGAAGCCCACAGATCTTAAAATATTTGTTAACTTTTCTAGAAAGAGTCTGTCAACCCTTGACTGGCATCCAGGGCATCCCAGGCTGCCCTCCGATAGCCTGAGGCTTAAGCTCCAGCATCTCTCCCGGTCCTGCCTTTCCCAGGAGCCCCCTTGCCCTGAGACACTCTGTCCATGGCTC